GGATGTGTCAAGTAAGAAGTTGCTGCGGTGGAGGTCAAGGAGGTTGTTTCCTGCTTTCTCCTCTAGGGTGTTGATAGTTTCCTGTCTCACGTTCAGGTCCTTTATCCATTTTGAGTTGATTTTTGTGCATGGTGTGAGAAAATGATCTAGTTTCATTTTTCTGCATGTTGCTGGGAAGACAAACTTTTAAATGCATCACTGACAAAGTCTAGTAAACAACAAATACTACTGTAAATGAGAAGTAAAGTGAAATGGTATCCGAAGTCAAGAGAAAGAGCTGTTGATACAAACACACCCAAAGACAATCCAGATGTTAAGAATTGACAGACAAGGACTGCAAATAACTATGATGAATATGCTTTTAAAAGTGCACATTTTGTAAACTTTACAAATCACACCCTTACCCTCCCCCAACATCCTAGTGAACTTGAGTTACCCATGATTTTCAATCAAATGGGGATTTGGAATGATTTATATTTGAAAGCCTGAGACAAACAACCTGAAAGTGATTAATGACAGCCAAACTTAATTATATATTTATACCTCCCAGTAGGACAAGGGAGAGAATAAAATTACTTATTTCTCTGTAGTGAGAGGGCTTTATTAAGATCTGACAATGACTACTTAAGAGCAATAATTGAGTTTTATGCCGGATTACACAGCTTCTCCTTGTTTGGCACCCCAGCGGAATCACAGACTGATAGAGTGCCTAGGCTCCTAACAGTGAGAAAAAAACAGTTGAGCTGTGTACAAAACTAACCTTTAAAAGTACTTATCCTCATCCGTCAATGTGATATTATCAAGGATTTCTATAATTTCTATAAACAACCATTATATTTTAGCTGAATCAGTAGCATTATGCTCTTTAAACAGATGGTCAGATACCTTCTACTTTAAAACATTTTCATTAATTCCCGTCCCCCACCCTCTTGTAAAAAGCATTTGGCTTCAACTTTCTTTTCCTAATCCACTAAGCAATCTCATGAATAAAAAGATAATCATATGCCTTGCATGTCTGATGTAATTTTTATAGAACTTCTAAGTGTTCTAACATCCATTTACCATTTTGGGAAAATAATATTTACTGAACAAGCTAGATTACCTTCCTTCCCCAAGGAAAAAAGCAAAGTTGGTAAAGATACAATGAAAAGTCTGCTAAGTAGTGTTATTTTTTTTAACTTTATTTATTTTGAGACACAGAGAGAGAGAATGCACGAACTGGGGAGGGGCACAGGGAGAGACAGACAGAGACAGAGAGAGAGAATCCCAAACAGGCTCTGCACTGTCAGCGTGGAGCCCAATGCGGGGCTTGAACTCACGAACCATAAGATTATGACCTAAGCTAAAATCAAGAGTCAGTTGACTTAACCAACTGAGATACCCAGGCGTCCCAAATGTTACTTTTGCTTAAAATGCTGCTTAACATTCTGTGGGACTTGCAGAGACGACTGACTTGGCCTCCCTGATACCATTCTTGCTTTTCTTCTGTCCACTTAGGTTGACACGGTCAGTCCTGACGATGCTAGTATGTAGAGAAATACTATCTATCTCCATCTATAATATCTACCAATGTAGAGAAGTACTCTCTTCTTACAAGTTTTCTTGTTCATACTGGTCTCCCAAAAGAACAGCTTCAACCATTTTCTCCCTTACTCTCCCTTCTCAGGGGGCTGGTTTCCCTTACACAGGTTTGGAGGACATCTGAGAGACCTTCCTAGAACTATAACCATAAGCAGCCTAGCCCATCAGCAAATACCAAGCATCCAGGGACAGAACACATGCAGCTCCATTTTTGTCAACCACAAAGTAAGTTCCCTCTTCCCTAGCAGTGCTTCTTCTAGAAACCGGGGGCAACTATGTCATCCCACAAATCTCTTGTCTCCCAAAAGTGACTCTTAGTGTCCTCTCCTGGTAAGTGCTGAGGGACTAGTCTCTCTCCCCCATGTCAGACCACCAATACATAGGCCAACACTTAGAGCCTATTTGAAATTCCCCCTAAGTCGCCAACTTGAATTTCTCCAAATAGAACTAAAGTGCCTCCCAATACCAGTACTACCATCCTGGTGCTGTGTGAAGCAAATAAAATTCTCAGAGGAGAGGACCAGTGCCTTCTTAAATTTAAGACATGGATTTTAAAAATATGTGAATGATGATATCTATTGAGCACCTTTTAGTTCATGAAATACATTGTTAAGCTCTAGCTGCATACCAGGCACTCTATCAGGCAGTAACTATACAAAAATGCATAAGACAGGGACGTTGCAATCTAGTAGGAGAAACGAACACATCCACAAATGATCATAATGTAGCGGGTTAACTGCCACAAGAAAGGTGAATAATAGAACAGAGCAAGTAACTAAGACACCATGTGCCAAAAAGGGGCTGAAGACTTTGGTGACCAGTTCTAAGGTATTAAGTTCCTCCCCTTCATTATCTCTAGTTGTGACACCATTCTGAGAGGAGACTACATCACATTTCTGTTTCTGTTTTTTGTTTTCCACCTAGAAAAACTAGGTGAGTAGCTCATTATCAGTTACATAAAAAATTTCACTTCCAGTATTGTCTTTATTCCAATCCAACCAACCTATGGTTAAACTTTACTGTCATCACGGCTTAAAATATTGTCACTCTGGTGAAGAGCATCTTTCCTGACCTGCAAAAATTCTCTTCTATAACACTGAAGAACTTAGATCATACTGTCAGAATGGACTTGATTCGAACAAATGCCATTATTATATTTGTGGCATTCAATTAAATATCCAGAGAAGAAATAAAAACATGTTGGATAAACTCATTTAAAATGCTTATCAAGCAAGTACTGCTATCAAAGCACAGAACAAAAATACACCCCATAAAAGTGTTAAAGAAAAGTCCTATTATCAAATCTTATTTCCCATTATATAAATAGAAAGAATACATGCTCCTGTCAAAAATTTTCAAATGAGCTAGAAGGAAAAATAGGGTCCATAGGAAACCAAGAGGAGCTATTTACGAGATAATCCCAAAGGCCTCCTCAAATCAACAAAAAGCATAAACTAGGTGAATGAAGAAAAAAGAAAAACTGCTCCTGAGAAAGTAGCCCATACTCCCTAGTCCAATCCTGACTCTCACTCTTTTAAATCCCTGCAGTGGCAGTGTCCACGGTGCCTGCTTCCCGTTCTATCCCTACAGGTGTGGATGCATCTTTCCCACAGCCTCTCTTTCTGAACTGGACTTTTTTACACCAGAAAAAAAAAAGTCTTGCATGGCTGTAATATTCACTTACACTAGCAGAATTAAAGCTAGTGTCTATTGTGGTTTGACTTAAAAACAAGATCATAACTAACTGAGGAGCGATTCTAGGAATGTACCCAATATATATTAACTAGCCACTCACTGAAAAGTCTTTTTCATAATGAAGAAGATAACGATGAGATAATAAGTTCTTGTTAACCATTTATCTGACATCCACATCCTTCCATCCTCACTGCCCACAAAAGTTACATCAGAAAAGTCAGAGAACCAGTAACATTTCACAGAAGTATTAAAAATAGAATTGGTAGGACCAAATCTTATCCAGTGTTCTATTGAGGAAAAATAAAATATATAAAAAGAAAAACAACAGAGAAAAACTTACTTGCAGTACCCTGTACCATTGTGGTAGGTGACACATATTCCTTTATTTACACAGGGCTCATAGCTGTCCCGACACTGCAATGCTAAAAATAAAAACAAATGCACATTAGAAATTAGTCACTAATCATAACCCTCAGACAGCAAAGAAATGTTACCCAATCTAGGTCAACATCCATTCCTATATCCAACCCGATCTGGATTTCCCTTTACAGGTTTTATTTTTTGCTTGCTGTGTTTTGTGTTGTCCTTTGGCTTCTGGAGTCAGAGAAGCATGGAAGCTCATCCTAGGAGTCTCTTCCTATAATAACTGTTTTGTAGTCTTGGGGCGCCTGGGTGGCTTAGTCGGTTAAGCGGCCGACTTTCGCTTAGGTCATGATCTCGCGGTTCGTGGGTTCGAGCCCCGCGTTGGGCTCTGTGCTGACTGCCAGCTCAGAGCCTGGAGCCTGTTTCAGAGTCTGTGACTCCCTCTCTCTCTGACCCTCCCCTGCTCACGCTGTCTCTCTCTCTCCTAGAAATAAATAAAACATTAAAAAAAATTTTTTTTTAAATAACTGTTTTGTAGTCTTGAATGATGCTCTTAATTAATCTGTGCCTCTATCCTCTAAAGATACTAAGAAAATTAAGGCTCTAACACCCATGACATGCCATGAGCACCTTGAAATTTGGATACATAAGGATTCATCAATGAATAGTTAGAAAGATCTGGGTAGATACCAGGTCACCATTATATTAATGAATTACTTAAGACTTCGAGTGAAGTTTTAAAAGAGTAAAACTTTTAATACGTAACAGAAATATCAACAACACTCATTGAACAAACTGTAATCAAGAGCCTAGCATATACAAGACACAATATTAGGATCCAGAGAAAAGGGGGAAATGGAATACATAAAAAATGAATAAAACGTAATCTCTAGCCTTAACGGGCTCACACAAAGATGGGGAATAGGCCACGAATACAGATTATAGAGGAGGCGAGGGGGGGGGTCAAAGTAAGGAAAATGAAAAGTTGATTTTGTACATCCAGATAAAACAATAATTCTCAAATTCATAAATTCCAGTTCTTTTATAAGGCAATGAAAAGGCGCTTCACGACCGCAATCCTTCCCCAAAACAGACTATCAGAAATAAACAGTAATATGGGGTGCCTTGGTGGCTCAGTCAGTTAAGCCTCCGACTTTGGCTCAGGTCATGATCTCACGGTTCATGGGTTCGAGCCCCGTATCGGGCTCTGCTGACTGCCAGCTCAGAGCCTGGAGCCTGTTTCAGATTCTGTGTCTCCCTCTCTCTCTGACCCTCCCCTGCTCACACTGTCACTTTCTCTCTCTCTCTCTCAGAAATAAATAAAACATTAAAAAAAAAAAAAAAGAAACAGTAACAGTAGAAACTTTCACTGATTTCAGCCAGAAGAGAAGGGAGGCTACCAAAGTCTACTACTCACTTGCTGGTTAACTAAATACCTTGATTGTTTAGCTTATAGAGTTGGAATTTTGATCCCCCAAAACCCTTATCAAGAATCCTAATAACAATTGAAAAGGCAAGACAGAAAGCAATCCAGCTAAACAAAAAACAAAACTGAAGTTAGTGAACTTTTCCTGGAAAATTATTAAGATGTCCATTTCCTAGGATGGTTATAAACACTGAAAGCAAACCTGAGAAGTTTCCACCTCTGAGTTCCCTCCAGCCATACCACTCTATGGATAAACTGCTCAGTATCAGAGGCTGTAGGCCTGCCCTGCTTGGGCATCAGAATCAGCCTCTTTTTCGTGGTGAGAACAGGCACAAGCTGCATGGTACAACATCTCCTCCATGAACAATGACTGAGCAAGAGCCCTCGATTTTTCCCAGTACCGTTACCAAGTGATGGAACCATTTGAGGACATGTTTATAGAAATCTCATCCCTTAAAATACGAATACTTCAAAAATAGTTAATAAGCATAGCAGCTAACATACTGCACTTACTAAATATCAGATACTATTTTCAGCATTTACACAGACTAATACAATGTTCCCTACAATCCTATGAAGCAGTTAGTCTCATTATAACAGTTCCACACAAGGGTAAGTCACCTGCCTACCGCCACACCAGTGAGTTAAAGAGACAGAATTTGAACCTAGGGAGTCTAGATCCTACAAGAGAGTTTGTGCTCTTAACTACAGTGATACACTGCTTCCCACTCTGACATTTTTCTTCTCCGGATAGGCAGGATAGGTATTATTACACCCATTTACTAGAAAGTGAAGGCCAAGGAGGTTAGGTGACCTCCACGTGGAGCATCACACCACTAGCCTGTGGCAGTGATGGGCCTGGGACTCAGGTCTCTTAGTGAGTCCAGCCCCATTTCTGTGACAGCTGCTGGAATCATACAGTCTCTAAGCTGCAGCCTGAACAGGCAGATTCAGGAAGAGGCTCATCTTGTCCATATCCCACTTCCCTGTAGGGCTCAAATGCTCCCTCTTCCCACACTGATAAGGCCGATGCTACAACTATAATTAAAACAGTTAATGTCAGGTTATTTCCTCCATACCAAAGTTCTCAAACTGCTTTTTTCATTCTCTTTAGACACTTTTATTAGTTTCAGTGAGAACTTCCTGACTTTTTTCTATTTGCTTTTTTTCTTTAAATAAAAAAGAAACCTGTCAGTAGGAAAGGAATGTCCTGGAGGCGGAGAACGGGCTTAGCTGCAGGCCTGCCTTCCCCCTGCAAGGAGTCCTGGCGCAGGGGAGACCAGAGCAGGGGAGACTGGAGATGTGAAACCCTGCCTCCAGCACTAGCCCGCTGTACGACTGTGAGCACAGCGCAACCTCACGGGGGCTCAATTTCCCTACCTGTAAACTACACTGGCATGGACTAAATGCTTCTGAAGGTCTCCTGCAATCCAACAGTGACACCTCCCTCATTAAAAAAGTATGTGAATGGCATGCCTGGTACCTGCAGAAATCGATGCAGAAGGACATTAAGGACCTAGCCACCCATGACTCAGAAAGCCATGGGTGCAAAAAAATTACAGTCTGTTCCTATTAAGTGTCCTGGCAAATCATTAGTGACAGGTTCGGAGAAATACAAACAACCCAAAGTCAATATGTGGCAATCCATCTAGCAAATAACTTTACAGCCTAGCCTTAGCGAACCAATCAAATCCAATGACCAAAAAGGAGGTGGGCTCACAGGGCTAATAATTAATGCCATTTGGCTAATCTTTAGGATCACACTACCTTGACCCTTTAACATGTACTAAGCCACAGTGCTCAAAGTGTGCATCAGAGTCAACTGGAGGGCCTGCTGGACCCCACCCCCACAGTTTCAGATTGGGGAGATCTAGAGGGGGCCTGGGCATTTGCATTCCTAACAATTCCCCAGTGATGTTGACGTTACAAGTCTGAGGAATCATACTCTGAGAACAAGTAAGGCCACTTTAAGGAATCCTCTAAGACTATATATATAATTAACTGGAAGTCTTAGATAATCTAGACAGTAATATAGTGCCTGAATTGACAAAAGAAAAATAAATTAAAATTTGAGATTCATTACTTTGCTCAGGAGTAGTTTGTAAATGATTAGTGTAATCATGAGCCATTCAAAGAGAGGTTAAAACTTTTATAACTTGAAAAAGTTTCAGTGTGACCAGGAAAGATCTCATTTCAAAATTCAATTTGCTCTTCTTCCAGTGTAAAATATTTAAATTTAACAGTGAAACTGAAAGCACCTTTGTGGGGCACCTGGGTGGCTCAGTTGGTTAAGCCTCCGACTTCAGCTCAGGTAATGATCTCACGGATCGTGGGTTCAAGCCCCGCATCAGGCTCTATGCTGACTGCCAGCTCAGAGCCTGGAGCCTGTTTCAGATTCTGTATCTCCCTCTCTCTCTGACCATCCCCTGCTCACGCTGTCTATCTCTCTCTCTCTCTCAGAAATAAATAAAACATTTTAAAAAATTGAAAAGAAAAAAGAAAGAAAGCACCTTTGTATTTGTAGAGTAAAAAACAAAATGCTCAATCATACCCCATTTACAGCACAGATGCTTAAATGGATGTTTTAGTAGACTCAGAGAAATGAGTCACTCACAAAAAGGGTAACTTTTCCCCAAATTTTCATCTTAAGCCCTGGTGATCATACTGCTGACTGAAATCCATCTCATACACTGCATGTGTGTGTGTATGTGTGTGTGTGTGTGTGTGCGCGCGCGCACGCGCGCGTGCACATTCCTTCCTCCCCCCCAAAAGGGGTAAAAACAAAGAAAAGCAGTAGATTTCAATTTTATCATTCCATCACTTGGCAATGTGACACAAAATCTAGAAATCAATTTCTAATTTCCACACATTTTCTGGGCAATGTATTTGGAGACTAGGCTTCTAATACTGAAAACATACTTACAAAGCATCTACTCTATGAGATGCTGGCCCTAATGTCAGGGATTCCACGGTTAACAGAATAAAGCCCTGTCCCCATGAAAAGAGAAAGATAGATAATAAGTGAATAAATAAATAATGTCATTTCAGACATTGGTAAGTGATAGATTCTGTTGGAAACAGAACCCAGATTTGGGAGACAGAATAACCACAAAGGCTGGATAGGGTGACTAGGAAAGAAAGGCCTTTTTCAGAAGGTATCTTTGAGCCAAGATTTAAATGAACAAGAACCACGAAGTTGTGGGAAAGAATAAGCCCAAACAGAGAAAGGCCGTGAGATGGGCATGAGACAGATATTCCAGGTGCAGGCGGCTAGCAGCTATTCAGCAAGGCAGGGAGGGATAGGAGGCAGGCAGGGGTTAGACTCCAGTTTCCAGTCTAAGTGTGAAGGTAAGTACTGCTTGACTTTAAGCAAGGAAAATGACACCATCAGATTTGTGTTTGAAAACAGTCTTGATTGTAAAATATTCCAGTGAGTGAAGGGTTTTCTTTTTCTTTATTTATATAAACATATTCAAGCCATCCCTTTTTAGAATAGGTTGAAGACATCCATTTTCTTAGCTCCCCAAAAGTGGTAAGAATTTTATTCTAACCTCATCCAATCTCCCAGAAGCCCCACTTGGGTTGGTCCAACACTCTAATCTACATTGGCTTTCAGTTCTACTCAATTCTCAG